TACTCTACGATGCGCGTCAGCGAGACTGGAAATTGAATATAGTGCCAAAAATTCAAATAATGGCCCATTGTGATTGTAATAGTAATAGTATATTATATTTGTAATAGTATTATATATTTTTGATACTTACATTATCGCCTTCTATTAAATTAGATAATTCAAAATCAGAAGCGGTAATTGATTTCATATCTAATGACAATGTCTTCGTAGACTAACCTTTTATCGACTGAGGAGATAGATCTCTGCCATATCTATATCCCCTTCATATACAAATACTACTTTATATGAAGTAGATATTTAGCGATATCACATTATCTTATTTAAATAAAATAATTACTCAATTATTTGTAGTAGTATTTCCGTTATCAGGGCAATAGTATATAAGCTTGTTTATGGTATATCTTTCCTTAAATAATTTTTTATGTTTTGTTTTACCACTTTTAATTTATCAAATAATAAACTATTTTGATTTGATATTAACAAATGAAATCAATGTTCTTATCAATATTTTTTATATTATTTAAGGTAACATAATACAAAACTGACTTCAATTCCGGCAATAAATTTATAACTTATAAACAATTAAACTCGATACCAGTATTTACAAAAAGTAATTACAAATATATGTTTAGATAAATCGGGAACTCATTTTATTGATCTTACTTTAATGATATAAAATATTTCTATTTTAAAGTAGCCTTTTAATGTGCTATATAGGTATTGTTGATTTGTTACTTTCATACTTCAATGTAAACGTTGTATTATTATTACTATAAGAAATTTTACATTGCGATCTAGAGATCTATTGTATACCCTTCATGGATGCAGATGATTGATCAAAGCTTAATTTCCTCAATAAATTGTAGAATTATATCTTAATTATTAAATCGATGCCGGGCATAGTCCCAGCACGTGCTTTGTGGTCTCATTCACTTTACCGTAAAATCTGAATGTTCCATTATTGAATTTTACAAATTTTTTAAACTGATAAGTCACTTTAGTTTTACTTTCAAACATTTTACAAATTAACTTTCTAAGATTTTATACAATTATTTTGACACGATCTTTTATTAATTAAAAATAATAATTTTTATAAATGACAAATTATGTTCAAGTCCATAAATTCACTTCCTATAATACGTATTGCTTATAGACACTTTGGCTCATAAATTAAGTGAACTGTGCAATTCCTCTAACTCTTGTTATCAGAAAACTAAAAATCTATAAATATATATACATTTTACTATTTTGAACACAAACCATATTATCATTATATTGCCTTATCATCTGTTAGATGAATAAAACAAATTACTTCTAACCATGAGCGACGTCATAAATATATTTTTTATACGCTATAAAAGCGAACATACATAATTTATGCTTGCCTCAAACACGGCAAAGTAGATTAATAATTGTTGTCATACACCGTCCAATGGAATATCTCCGAATGAAATCAAAATTTGTACATAATTCGTTTTTATAGAAATTATTTAAAAAAAAATAAAAATAAAATGAATAAAACAGATATGATCGCTGATGGGATTAAATTTTGGGGTTGTGCGCCAGTTGTCAAACACCTATGATTGATTACACCGAATTGCTACAAAGTAAGCCTTTCCAATGCCCATCGAAAATATTTGTATGAATTAAATTTATAAGATTTTATCTTAAAAACACTACACTAAGTATAGATAAAAAAATGTATTACATTATTAAATAAAATTTTTATATATAATAAAAATCATCAATTAAATATTAATATTGAAAAATTTGTTAAATTAAATATAATATATATATATATATATATATTAAATTTGATTTGAGAGTCCATATGACTGTAACGATTACTTTAATTAATTGGAACTATTATATATAGTAGAGAGGTATTACGTATTACGCTCCGAGATTAGGTTCTATGCACAAGAAAGTAATGAAATCATGCAACAAATAATGCTTTTACAAAAGAATAGTATTAAAAATATTATTAAATAATTAAATTATTCTACAGCTGGTTTATGAGTTCGCTCTAATGTAACACAGCAAATGAATTTTTCCAAGTTTGAACATACAAGTCAAGTACGGTTTTGGGTCAGTTGGTTAATGAACACTGGCTGCAAACTTTAAATTTGGCAGGGCACAAGTTCAACCTTTGATACTTGCAGTCTCTAAAAATTATTTACGAATAATTAAATATAAGAAACAATTGCAAGAATACAGATGATTGGTATGTGGCAATACTCGATACAGAAATTCAATTTATTAAAATAATATCAATTTTTTTGTTGTTGTTCATTACTTCTTTTCCAAACCTCTTTATTAAATTTAATATATATATAAAAATTGTTTGAATAAAAGTATAAAGGTGAAACGTTCAATTAAAAAGAAAAATTTATATTTATAAATAAAAACTTATTAAAATTTCTACAAATATTTAAAATATCTCGAAACCCTTTTTGTAGGTTTGTTGTAGAGATTTTATTAAATCGACGTGCTTGCCCAAAACTTTTTAGCACTTTTTTATGCATTTTTTACTGCATTTTTCTGCTTTGTTTTTTTGAATGAAACGAGGAATATAAAAAGCCTTTCGGTGCATTGCCCTCTTCAAACTTTTTAGTCGTGCTTTTTTCTACTTTTTTTCAATTATTCGTAAAATCTCCTTGAAAAAATGTGAGAAGCATTAAAGTTAAAAATTATTTAAATTGTTTAGAACAAATTGTTGGAATAAGTATTTAAAGTTGTTTTTCTATTGAATTCACTTTTATATTCACTTTATATAAAATAAATATATGAAATTTATTTAAGTATTTATATAGATATTTAAAAGTCTGTTTTGAATAATATAATACACATATGATAATATAATACACAAGTTTTATAACATAAAGTTTATAATTTGATAAGTATAATAAATTACACAAATATCACATATAATAAAACTAAGCTTATTTATTATTATTTCACATATATTTCTATTTCATATTTTGTTTGACAAAAATATAAATATTAATGATAAAAGTTACATAATGAAGTTACATAATGATTATTTATACATATATTATACATATAAATAAATTTGTCCAGAGACATTTTAAAAAAGTATGCAAAACTTCTGTTCTTTCGTTTTAGCTTCAGAATATACAGAAGTTATTTTGCCATAAATTCTAGTTAAGATAAAAGCGGTATGAAAAGATAAATACCTCTATATGAGTACTCGTAAAGGTCAACAATTCAAATTAAATTCAAAAACAACATAAATCTATCGTTCTCATATCTCTCAAAATCTTATTTATATTGAACACATTTTATCAATACTTAAATCAAATAAAAACAAATTATATTAAGTACTTTAATATATCACAGATATAGTAAAAATAATTTGCCTTACCTTTTGATTACTCATATTACAAATTAAATTGTTTATTTATCTATTTATTATAAATAACTTACCTCTATATATATATATATATACAGTATATATTATTATTATCTATTGTCTTGGCTTAATTATGAATTCTTTGTGTTGCGCTCCCATTTCCAACATCATATCCAACACCCAAGTGCTTATACAAATCATTGCTGTCTGCTGGTCTGTACAACCTTCATTTTTATATAACACATAATATATTATTTATATACATTTTAAATATATTTTGCTTTGCTATTTTTATATGTCTAAAAGTTTTTATCTCGTTGCTAAACAATATATTAAAAATGCGTGGGCGTGCCTGTCGTTCTAGTGTTTTTTATTGGTTTGCTAATATTCCATTAACGAATGTTTATGTATTATATATATATGTATGTTTTTATTTAAGATGCTGAGGTTCTAAAAAAGAATGCATTTTTTTATTGAATCGTTTTAAATAATATTATTCAAATCTTATTCAATACATTATCAATTATGTGCTTCTGGTAAAATATTAAATTTAATTTAATTTTGCTTATTTCAGTTCTTAAAAAATCTTATGGAACATATGTATTATATATTTAAATAAATAAATAGTACGTATATTTAAATAAAGATTTAATAACAAACAAAAATGTGTTTTAGGTATAATTATTAATTATTTTTAATAATATATTTTATAAATAATTTTTATATAAACATAAATTAAATCGGTATGCCTTAGTAAATCCGAATAGAACTCAATTTCAAAGAATCCGTATGAACAGAGTTCTACTGTATGTTTATAACGTCTAATATTTTGTTCGTGTTTCTATTAGGATTTTTAAATAAGTCATTAATAGAAATTATTTAAAGTTCACATATAAGGATAAATTAAATTAAAATCGAATAAATATATTAAGTTATTAGGGTGCCGCGTATCAAAGTGGCATAAGTGTGGGATGTGGTCTTTTGGTTTATAAAGCAAAAAAGAAATTTATATCGGTGGTGAAGGATTTGTATAATTTCCAATATTAACCGTGACGTATAGTATCATATATACATATATACGAGTACCTAGGAAAGCTAATAGAGTTTTTTAAAAAAACTACTACCCAACCAACTTATATTTATTAAGTACTTTTGGTTGATATACTATTACTACTACTATTGTCCAGTTCCTTCAGTGAGCACAGAGCCTCAATAATTCTTCTAAATCTGACTCTATTGGGTGCTTCTCTATACATGTCGTTCCATGTATATCGTGCTTTAGCTAGCTCACTTTCGATCGTTCTTCTCCACGTTTTTGCTGGTGCACTAGGTCTTGGGTTGATCTAGTATAACTTTTTTCTCATTCCAAACGATTGTTGTGTTTGAATGAAATAAACTGTACTACTTATGCAATTCTACTATCTCCATGCAAATTATTCTCTTAGTCTAAAGGCAGACTTATTTAAAAGGCCAGACTTCAGCTGATCCTCTTAATGAAATATCAGTTATAATAAAATTAGTTATGTGAAATCATTTGCGTACTGCGTACAAAATTGCTTTAGTTAACTAATACCTAAAGTGTGATTTAAACTAAATTTTAATAAATATTTTTATCTTATCTTTCCAGTTTCAACGGCACACAATAAAAAAAGTGCAACGAATTGTGGGTTACGGTTATGACTAATCACAAACAAAGCAAAAGCCTTTCAAGAAAGCAAAAGTAAAACCCAAGTCGCGTGAATTTTTTGCAAAATGTGCGGATTGGTAAGACGTTGAAATCTGCGATATCAATTACAAGAGAACGTCGCAGACATTATGACTACTACGATAAAAGTTGGAAAATATCTGCTCTATTCAAAAATTAACTTTAAAATGTTAAAATAAAATGATGGGAACAAAAACTTGACATGAAAGCCGGCAAAGAAATATGATGATAAAAAGCGTGGAATTTTAGTTTTGAACATTTAAACTTTTGCTCCACAAACTCATGTGAACCAATTTTAAGAGCATGAATACGTAGTGATTAAATATTAAACAAAAAAAGAAGATATTTAAAAAAAATAAAATAATAGCATAACTCGATATTTGGAAGCGTCAAAATTCGAGCCTTTTTAACATCAACCAGTAACATAGTTTTTGCTGCCTGCAATAAAATTTTATACAACACAATTTCCATTTTGCTTCATATTCACTTTACCAGGTCTTGTATATTTGCGTAACTCCTTTCTATACTGTAGTTGCTCTATTCTATCTCAGGATTTCGTACAAGTTCTTTAAAGAGATTATCCCACTTTATTATAATGAATATAATACGGTGCAGAGGTATGTTGCATTGGTATCTGAAGCTGTAAGGAACGTGTGTGTATTTGCAGTATTTTTATGTATCTGAAAGTGTGCGAATATAAAAGTAAAAAGCTTCTCAATGAAAAGGAAAACATTAAGGAAATAAATTATTTTTATACAGAACATGCCAGTGGATATGCAAAAGAACGTCTCTGTACAAGTTGATAGTGACTTCGCTTTACTTTTGCCTAGTGGTATATATGAAATAAAAAAAATGGAACCACGCTCCAAAATACGAACAATTATTTTATTTTGCCTTTTTCTGGCAATAGCAGGAATCATTGGATTTGGATACTTTTGTCAAGATCAGGTGAGTTGGAAGCAATTAGCCAATAATTGGCTATAGATAATAAAAAGTAATTGATTGTAAAATTTATATAATTAATTAATTGTAAGAGATTCTTTTTTGAGCTTTTCTTCGTGAATGAAATTATAGTGTTCTCTAGAAGATGTGAATACTGGCTTTAAGTGTATGCTGGGCACTTTTTTTTTGATTTTATATTCTAAAAAAATTCTTCGACGTTAATAAAATATTCATCAAGCGAACATTGTAGTATGAAATTACAATTTACGTTTATTACTTAATTATAAAAAATTTAATTACTAAAGTGTGTAATTTGTAATATTTTTTAAAATTTATACAATAATTCAGAATTCTAAGTTAGCTTATAGGTTGTTTGGGATGTAAGTCTTCACATGATGTCTTGGGAAAAATCAGTTATCGATCTTCGTTGCCACTTATATTAATAACAAATAAAAATTTTGGTTTTAATTAGTTCAAGTTTTCGATTGAGCACTGTAGTATGAAATTAGAAATTAAAATCCTTAACTTAATTTTAATTAATTTGATTACTTAAGTGTGAAATTTAAAATAATCCAGTACTCTATATTATCTTGTGGATTGTTTTAAATAGAAATATTCACTTGATGTCTTAGTAAAAATCAGTTATCCATCGTCGGTCCAACTTATATAAATAACAGTGCTCAATATATTCAAAATATCTGTCTGGTCAATCAAATCAATTTAACCATTTGTTATACATTTTTAAATGAATAAAAATTGTTGTGATACACAGTTCTGTGCGCAATGATGCACTAATAATTTCTACATATAAAATTCCATAAAAATTTTATTTTACCAAATATGTGAGATTTTTTTAAATACTTTTCTATGACCTATAAAAATTCCATAGACGACAAATAATACACAAAATTTTTTGTCATAGGTTTCATAATTCGCACAAATATGTTTGTTTACACATATAAATTGAAAATATACAATATTGTCCAGTTGGTCAATAAATTGTTGGATGATGTTTACTCTTTTCAACTACTGTCAATGTGTCAGAAGTTTCAACAATCATTAAAGCCCGGCGCCAATGCAAATTACCATAATTTTTTTTATGGATTATTTTTTATAAATTTTTTATAAATTCTTTTCTCTCAGTCACTTTTGCAAAGAACCGTCAATTTATTTATTTGGTTATTCAATAAAGTCTATAAATATTGATAAATAAATTTTTTTATCCATTTTTTTCTATATTTATTATTTCCAATACAAAATCGCAAAATTATACATTTAGAAAAAATTAAATAGCTTATAAGCTAACAAAAGATACATTCTTTTAATATTCCAGTTTTTATTTTTTCGGAAATTCTCTGAAATATCTTCAAAACGTTTGGTGAACATTATTTATATTTACAAGTCTAATCACGTTAAATGTCATTTTAATGTTAAATTTATTGCTGTTTCATGAATTAGTTTCATTCATATTGTTTACGAGTATTATTCAGAGGAATTCATTTTTTCGATAAAAATTAAGAAATAAAAAAGAAACTTGTTTTTAGTAATGCAATAAATTCAAAAGTGCTACTAATTTGATTAGATATATTAGTTTATGATAAAGTAACATTAACTGTTACATATCACATAAAAATGTTTTCATTATATCACAGTTTTGTTATATTAGGTTCAATATTCTTCCTATTTCCAAAATACTTTCATAGATCAATGTAGTTATAAAGAGAAAAGAAAATGTGTGTGGAACTACTTCTCAAATTCATATCACTCATTTCATGAAGCATTTCCCTTGGTTCAATTTGGTATAGAAAAATTAGTTACAAAAAGAATAAAAATTTTATTTCTAATTTCTAATATTTCTAAAACCCACTAGTGTTCTTGTAGTAAACAAACATACCAACGATAACACTACAAATTTACATATTGGTATATAGCTTGGCTGGTCCTATAAAGAAAATAATAATTAATAACAATAACGGAAAAAAAAATATAGTACAACATACCAAGATATCAACAGATTAACAGTTCGACCATTAGTTTAGCATTTATAAGGTTTTTGTTAAATTACTAACCATTATGTAGAGAAAAGCTTTTGCTCCAAAGTACCACGATACTAACGTATCGTTATATTACCGAGATATCGACCATGAGTTCAGAAGTTACACGGTTTTTGAAAAAAAACATATTGTGCTTTTTTTTTTTCAAAGCATGAGTAAATAAAGTTTTGTACGTTATCATTGGAGCAAAAGAATCATTTGAGAAGATTATCAGTATGTATAAGGATAGACAACTTATAAAAATATCTTCAAAATCAAAATGGATCATAGTGTATTTGTAAAGCCCAACTTTTGTGATTTGCTCTCTAAGCACATATGAATTTGTTTATTTTAATCTGTTCATTTTGCATATGGAACAGCGTTATTTTTTCATTCTTTCTACTGTTCTCTATACGTCATTTTTGATTTATATTATAGACATGAATGACAATACGTTGTTGTAGATTGAATGGCAATAAAACGGACAATATATTTTAGTGGACAATTATTTTATAATGCCTTGGACATATGTATCTATATGTATAAGTTCTCACTTGTATTAGTACCAGTGACCGTAACAGTTATCATAAAAAAAATAAAAATCATCTTATAACTGTTATCATTTGCATTTTAAAATAAAACTCAAAAAATAATAATTAAATTTGATTTTTATTATATTCATCAAAAATAATTATTATTATATGCCTTTTATTTTTTCGCGCAGAAATAACTCTTAAAATTTGCTTCTTATTTTAAAAATCACAAATAACTGGTATACTTGCGTTATATAATATAAAAAGCAAGAGTATCGCGCAAATTCTGCGCGATATTTTTAAAATGAAAATATAAAATGCAATTTTCATACAAGGTAGTTGTTTTTGTAATTCCATAGAAAATGTTTTAAAAAGTTGGTGCAGGTAAAGATTTTGTTCAGTTTTTTGTTTTTGTATTTTGGATTCATATTTTGTATTTACATTTGTATTTTGTAGGAGAACAAAAATACAAAAATCCACACAATCTATGCAATTAATTGTTGATATCTTATTACATTTACATTTTATCTTATAATACTATACTTAGGTTTAAAAATTATACCTTCTTTTTTATTATTCGGCTTCTTCTTCTTTTTCGTCTTCTTATTCTTATTCTTTTTCTTCTTATTCTTCTTTTTATTCTTCTTTTTATTCTTCTTCTTCTTTTTATTCTTCTGCTTCTTATTTTTATTTTTCTTCTTCTTTTTCTTCTCTTTCTTCTTCTCCTTCTTCTTCTCCTTCTTCTTCTTTTTCTTCTCCTTCTTCTCTTTTTCTTCTCCTTTTTCTTCTCCTTCTTTTTCTTCTTCTTCTTTTTCTTCTTTTTCTTTTTTTTCTTTTTTTTCTTTTTCTTCTTTTCTTCTTCTTCTTCTTCTTCTTATCTTATCACAAATATGAAAATTGGGTTCCTGTGAAAAACATTTAAAAGTCTCTAGAGTTCGCTCTCTAAGAAAGATGCAACCATTTCAGAAAATACTGAAATGGTTTAAAAAAATAATATTTTTAATTAATAGATAAGGTATGAATAAAATCAGCTGAAAGTGTTTCTATATACTAAATAAAAATAAATAATAATCTGCATGAAATTGTTCAAATAAAATGAGATCCCTGTCAGTCATTTTTTTTTTTTCACTGTTATAAATTATAAATTTTTTATAGCTTATTAAAGTCCATAATAAAAATAAAATAAAAATTTTTCTATGAGCTGGTATGGGAGCTGACTTCTTACTTCAAATGAAAATAATAAAAATGTATGTCTGTTTATAGCGGTCTTTTATATTCGTTATATACCAGCATTTACAAAAGAATTAAATAGCATTTTAATTTAAAATTGAAATGATTTGCGTAAATCCGAATTTTTTATAGCAAATATTTTTTTACCAAAAACTGGTTTAGCCACCCAGCATATCGATTTTGGCTCTTAACGTTAAAAATTTTTTAAAAAAGGTAAACATTAATAAATCAAAAATAATAAAATATTAAATAATGGAATCTAGTGACGTCCGTAGAGGCAATAAACATCAAGTAGCTACATTCTTACGGTAAAACAAAGAATAAAATATTTTTTAGATTTTATTTAATTGCTGTCCGGAACTAATAGATTATGCATTCCCTGCCAATATTGTTATATTGAAAATCAAATTCAATATTTCCTAAAAGAATATCTTGATGGTCATACAAATTCAATTTGATAAAAATTATATAGAAAATATAATTTTTTTCTAACGTAGTTATGATTAATCATACTTATTCTAATGAAACCGCTATTGACTGATATGTGTACATATATCACTGATACTGAGATATGATCGCTGGTAGTTATTATTAAAATTTTTTTTTCTAAGTAATATGTCTATTTAAATTCGTAAGAAATTTGTATGTTGGTTATTAGTAATTAGAAATAATAATCTGATTTCTTATTAAAAGAAAGAAAATGATAAGAATTATTTTCCGAATGAGCGAGCTTATATTTATTTTCATAACATTTTTCTATATTTTTTTATAGAAAAATATATCTTCAAATTTTTTTAGCTGACTTATGTACTACACATTGTATACCTTCTGCTCAAAAAGTATTCGGATTTTGTAAATAAAATACACAAATTAAAATTTTATTCCAAATTTATTTTATCTCCTTCAAAATATGATCCTTCTCAAGCGATACACATATGCCAACGCTTAACCCAATCTTCCACACACTTTTCGTAGGCCCGTGCAGGTATGGCTTTTAGTTCCGAATTTTCTATTACTTCTATTTTCTATTAATTATCAATCGACTCAAAACGATTACCACTAAAGGGCAATTTGAGTTTCGGGAACAGAAAAAAGTCGCACGGTGCCAGATCTGGCGAATATGGTGCCTGGTTGGTTACGATGTCTGGTTAGTATATCCTTTCACTGCTATTTTACGATTATCTAATTATCTGCTGTTTATCTAACACAT